CTGTTTTTGGGGAAGTTGTTGCCATGCAAGTACCTCTACATCTACTGAAAACTTCTGAGTAGTTGAAGTCATGGTAACAGCAGATTTTTTTTTCCCCCAGACAACTACTTTGGCTTTCAGAGTAGAATACACAATCAAGTATAAAGTTTCATCAAAATTGTGGTATCTTAAAAAAGCTTCTGAACTATTTAATGCAGTTTATATGATGATTACATGATTTATATCACAGCAGAGCAAGTGAGTAAGCAAGTCTAGCTCCTGTCTTCTCATGAGTACAAAAGATGGCTGAAGATGTGTTTCACTCTTGTTTTCTTACTGCTACAATATCACATTTTCTTTTGGTGACAACAGAAAGCATTCCAGTTCCCCAGATCCCCAGACATGGAAGCTCTGTGTGACATGCTCGATCACATTGTAAGACATATTCCAAAAACATTTGTTCTAGCTGAATATTAACTTCTGACCACATGCTTCAGGAGAAGCAAACTTTTTTGCAGAAAACCTGCTATATGGAACTGGGAGCTTGAGCCCATAATGCCCATATTCACTCATTCATCATTTCTCTTGACCTGATTTTGTGCTCTAACTTTTCTGACAGATTGTGAGCGTTTCCTTGGTGATCCAAGTTTATTGCCAAAGCAGACAAATGAATCATCTATATACAGTAAAAGTGGGGAGCTGCCAGGGGAATACCTGATGCCATTGCATGTGGTGAGCAAGTCTCAGGCCAGCTGGTGATGAAGTCCTTCCTGTCAGCTCTTCAGGCAGGGGCCACGTCTGCACTCTGGCACTCACCCTGGCACAGGGGCTGGACAGACCCTCTGCCAGGATCACAGGACAGGCTGGTTAAGGGTGTCATGAAATAGCACTGCTGGATGGTAAAGCTCTGGAGGAAAAACCTCAGAAAGCCAGGCTCTTCAGGCAGGATGGGTAGACAGGCTGCCCTGGTTCTTGCCTCAGCTGCATCTGTGACTCCAGACAAGCTGCTCCAGCTCAGGACCTGTCTTCTTTTAAAATACATATTAGTTCACTCACAGAGCATCTAAACCTCCCACAAATAGTCCTGCTGTAATGGAAATCATTCTTTTCCAAACCACAAGGAAAAATGCATGCTTTTTCCAGCCTTCTCTTCATCCTCTCTAAAGACTAAAATCTCTGACCACTGGCAGAGTGCTCAGGGCATTCTTCTCTCCCTCCTCTCTAAAGACTAAAATTTCTGACCACTGGCAGAGTGCTCAGGGCATGTGCAGGGTGTCCCAGCACCACAGTTCCCTACTGTTGATCCATCTGGGTTTAGGCAGGGAGTGGGATAACCAGACCCTGAGCCCTCTAACCCATCCTTCTCGGTTCTGCTCAGTCCTGCTGCTCTTCCTGTGGCAGGAAGGAGCTGCCCCTCCTCTCTAAAGACTAAAATTTCTGACCACTGGCAGAGTGCTCAGGGCATGTGCAGGGTGTCCCAGCACCACAGTTCCCTACTGTTGATCCATCTGGGTTTAGGCAGGGAGTGGGATAACCAGACCCTGAGCCCTCTAACCCATCCTTCTCGGTTCTGCTCAGTCCTGCTGCTCTTCCTGTGGCAGGAAGGAGCTGCCTGCACTACACCTTCTGCCTCCCAACAGTTCCTCTCTCCCCCCAGTGCCCATCGCTCACGTAGCCATACCAAGCACGGTGGTGTATCACTTTGCTTTGGACACAGGGGCTTGCTCCCTCCTTTCCCAGGACATTTAGCTGTGAGACCCTATCTGTTCTTCCCTGCTGCTGCCAGACATGGAATGTCTCTCACTCCAACTTGTGTAATCAGTGTCACCACCGCAGCATCAACTTTTATGTGTGCCCATCACTTCAGAGCACAGAGCTAAGCAGTTAGCTGAAGGGTTTATAGGTACTTCCAAAATCTTCTTCCAAGAATATATGATATCTCTTGGATCCCTTCAGACTGACTGCCTGGAGCCAGGTGTCTGCACGACAAGTGAGAGCTGTAGCCACCCTGGCAAGCCCCACCACAGCCAGCACCAGCCAGTGTTGGAATCCAAGTACTGATTGTGTGTTGCTGAGAGCATTTTGGTTTGCATTTCTGCTTGGCTTCATCATCGAACTCACACAGGAGGATACGAGGTGGTTGTTGGTTTGCACACAGGAATAAGGAAGTTCTACTTATTTACAGCAATCTGTAGAAAAATCATAAAAATTAAGCTTCCTACTATGCAAACAAATTTGATTGCACAATAAAATCAGCATTGAAAGGGTGTGTAATAATGCCCTTTCAGCTCCGTTTTTCAGGTTAGCCTTGGATGAAATCCCCAAATAGCTGATTTAATTTCCAGCTGGCTTCCACGGTTAAGCTTTAAAAATGGCATGAGGCAAATTCACAAGTACAGCTCTGCCTTTGGCTGGAACCAGTCAGAAGTGCACTTCTTGCTGTTAAATTCTGTATTTAGAGTGAGGAGCTGTATTTTATTTAGCTCACAGCCATGCCAGAAACAGGCTTTCCTCAGCAGCCTCCCAGCAGTGCAGCCAGCAGGTGCTCCCAGGGCACACCCTGCACACACCTACGGAGCAGAATGCCACACAAAAAGCACCAGCAGCTGCTTTTTCTTTGGAAAACACAGGCCACAGCGTTAAAAAACACTTTCTTCCTCTTTTATTGCAATGCAGCATGAGTGCTTGCCTGTCAAGTTGGATTTAAGTTCTGCTCCATGCTGAGCTGGAGGGGCTTGAAGCCCACCACAGGCACTGCTGAGGAGAGGAGAGCAACAGGTCCAGCTCAGCGTGGACCAGCGTGGGGTGGCACTTTCCTTTCGCCCTCGTTCTGTAGGGCTGCAGCACAAAATGGGATTCAAGGTCCAGCATGCCAGGCAGAGCTGGTGAGGGCACCTGTTTTCCTAGCCCAATGGCTACTTGCATACATGGAAGGGTTTCAGACCCAGAGCTGTTAAGAGTATTGTATCTCATGCCCATGAAATGTAAAATACCATGAGGAAAGCTGGTGGAGCAGGACATACGCCCGGGGAAGAAGCCTCTCTTTTGCATTGGACTATGATGGCACATTCCCCTGGAACGAGAAGAAAGGGCAATGACTCAGGTGTTCCCTACGTCAAACAGGATAAGGTAAGGAGTGCCCCTGCCCCAAATGCCCGGCAGGGAAGGGCAGTGAGTCAACAGCCATAGGATTGTGAAATCTGGGGATCTCTGCAGGCGGAACAACCCACATGAGCAGCTCTAACAGCCATCCCAGGGGCAGCAGGCAGAGAAGCTGTGCTGCCTGCCCACTGCCCTGGGACGGGAGAACCTCACCTCCCTACCCTCCTCCCAGAGGACTCCCACAGCAAATCCCTGCCCTGGAGCCCATATCCAGCCTAGCACTGCATGTTGGCTGGCCCTAGGCAAGGGTGTGGGGAACCTGGATCCCACACTGTGGGGGTGGCAGCCACCATCTCTGCCCAACAGCCTCTGGCCATCAGGAACAGGGGCTGGGTTCCTTCCTGGGGAAGACAGTGCAATCACCAACAAAAAGGAAATACTTTTCATCAGCGTTGGCCCACATAAGCATATTTAGTTTTGGGTGATGGAAAAAGAAGGTGGATGAAGAGCAGGGATCAAAAAAACCAAAACCACAACAAAACAGATGCAGAGTAGTAAGTGTACGCTTGAAATTTCACTCCTGTGGGCTTTATAGCACTTAAATATCAAAAGTTAAGAGACAGTGTTCATTGGTCAGGACAATTTTATTTTGAGGTTATTTTCATGGCAAAGGGCTAAGTTCTGCTACGAATTTTTTAAAAAAAGAGAAGTTTATATTAAAGAAAATTTGGTTTATTGTAAACAAAGTATAAAGTACAACATAAGAAATGTGCAAATCTTTAAAGTAGTCACAAAAAGCATATCTAATACACTATTTTCAAACCGTTCACTTTCTGGTATGTGTCCTCAACATAATATGATAAAATAGAAATAGTGAAAATTGATGCATTGTCACAAAAGCTACAGTTTAAATTCTATGCCGGTGTCTCTGCTGCCTCGTTTTGCTTTTCGAATCACAGCTTTCTAATTTAATACAATATTTCATTTTTAGTATAAACCACCTTTCAAAGAACAAGGCAATCGAGAAGCCTAAGATTCTTGGTTTTCTTTCCTAAGCAACCCGAGTAGTTTACACTTCCAATGTTTCTCTTCTAAGTGCACTGTATCTGCTCATGACAAGCGCAATGAGAAGGTGTAAAGGAAACCATAAGCAACACAAAAGCGGAAGCATCGTGCGATGCCCAGGTATAACCAGCTGTAACAATCACAAAGCTTGCCAAGGCAGCTGGGAAAATGTTACAAAGCGAATGAGGACTCGGAAATACTCCTGTCCCTCAGCTGCCCACGTGGTGCCCCTGCACGCCCAGCCCAAGCCCCTCTGGACAGCAGTGTACAGCTGGGTGCATTGAACACCCCATGCAGGAGGAGAGGCCTCAAATCTCCAGGAGTCTGGCACCAAATCATTGCTTATGACGGGGCCAGAGAATGGTTAGGAGGAAAATATTCCTACCAAAAAAGAAGTAGGAAAACCAATTTAGATTATCTTACGCAGGTGGGTTCTGGGCTTTCAGCCTGTGCCCATGCATTGCCGCTGCCCGGCTCTGTGCCCGCTGAAGGCTGACAACTGATAACTAAAATCGGAGTTGGTCTCAGACGCCAGCAGCAAACCTTCAGTAACACCCACACGGGACTGACCTAGAGTATCTACAAGTGACTTGCAAAATTCGAAACTGGCACAATGTGGCTACTCTGCTCTAGAACCTTCCCTTTCTCTCTCCTTACCAGTGCAAAAGACACCTCCTATTCCAGTCAGCCACCGGTTCTCCCAGCAACACTGTGACCAAGCACAGGCTGCCTCTGCCTCTCTGCACTGCAGCCAGCAGCTGGCACGGGAGAACCACAGACCGGGAGCAAAAGCCTTTCTTCAGCTGGCCTATCCCAGCAACACGCTAATTCCACTGTCCCCAGAGCAAGTCCTGTCACTGGGCGGCCGCAGCTGCCGGCGGCAGGGCAACGTCATTCAGCCTGCTCACTTCCATTTGCCAGTTGGGCAACTTCTTGGCGGACAAGTGGCGCCGCGCGTGCTTCGTCAGGTGGTCACTGCGCATGAACCGCCGCTCACACATCGGGCAGGCAAACTTCTTCTCTCCCGTGTGCGTTCTGCGGTGGCGAGACAGTTCGTCAGACCGTGCAAACCTCCTCTCGCAGCCCTTCCAACTGCAGCTGAATGGCTTCTCTCCTAAAGAAAAAATTACAAAGAAAAAAACAAACGGTGAGTACTAACTGAGCAACAGACGCTGCTGCCTTGACTAGCAGGATTTGACTTTTATAAAGGAAAGTTTCTATAATGGCAGTCAAGTAATTTCTACAGAAATATCATAGACACAAAATGTGAAAAATTGTTTATATACCAATATTTAAACATGCAGACTCACTATCCTCAGGGCTAAGTAGTACAAAGGGTTAACAATTCTCTGGAACCAAACAGTTTGAAATGCTCTCTATATCTCAAGACAGCTGATTTTAACTCTCAGCTCCAGATCAACTGCAGACGGTGATGACTCAGCATGGCCACAATTCCCCTCTGAAACACAGCCTGCAAGGATATTTTATGTAACAGCTCCGGTAGTGCACTGTGAGCCTACGTGCAAATACATGTGACTCCTTCTGCTCCTGCAATTAAGGGCTGAGGCGTGGAGAAGCTGCTCTAAAATAACCAAGGTAGGCATAGTTTAGAGTGGATCCTCGCATTCCTTCATAGAAGAATCTCTTAAGTTTTACCCACTTCTGACAAAGGCATTTCTGAGAAGCCTAATAAGGCATCTTTAACTCTGGCAAAGCACAGTCTGCAGTGGGCGAGGCCTTGCTTCCACAGAGGCATTACCGAACATCGAGTCAGGCACAAACAAACTGCTGAGTCAACTTCCCCTCTGGGAGATTTCCTGTCAGAGATTAGGCAGCATTATAATGCACACTGGCAAAAATAAATATTTAATTGCTGCCCCACAGTTTGTTCCACGAACAGATCTGGTAATCGCTACAACTGTAACAAGTTGCGTACATACCCACAATTTTCTAAATTAATTTTTAACGTGCTGCAGTGACCCACCTGTGTGTGTTCTGACGTGAGCCTTCAAATGGGAGCTCTTAAAGTACGTTTTCCCACATCCTGGATAGCTGCAAATGTGACTTCTTATCCTTGAAGAGTCAGCCGGAGGAGTGGTTTTTGCTGCGGAAGGCACAAAGCCGGGAGCAGGGGCAATGGGAGAGAGTCTCGTGCCATTCGGACTAATAATGGGAGCCTTTGTGCTCTGCACCACTGGCTGGGGCACGACAAACATGACAGCACCCTTGGGAACCTGGGTGCCCATGAAGACCATGGGCTGACAAAGAGCTGGCTGCTGGCTCGGCGTGGCGTTGGGCACTACGGCCGTCACAACGCTGTTGTTTGTGGGCAGCGGGACCATCTGGCAAATCACTGGCACGGGGGGAGCTCCACTGCCTTGGGCAGGGGATGGCGGAGCCGCCGCCGCCAACGGCTGGGCCAGTTCAGGGACAGGCTCCCGGGTCACAGAGGGCTTTGTTAAGGGCACTGGACCAACAGCTGGTTCCGTGGCTCTTCCTTCTGCCTCCGACAGTTCACCACTCTCATCACCCGGTGCCGTGGTGGAACACACCGAGTGCTCTACTTTGGCTTTCTGTCTACTGTTTGCTTCCCTCTGAACACCGTCCCGGTGCTTCAGCACGCTGGCTGCTCTCACCGGGCAGGTTTTGTGATCGCAGAGCTGCGCATCAGCCGTGTGGCGGATAACACTCGTGGCTTGAGCCTTGAGAGGCCTGGCTGCCGCCGACCGCTCCACCCCCCCCCCAGGGGGAGGGGCGGCCAGAGGAGGCCTGGCAGCCTCGGCCAGCGACTTGCCAAGAGGATGGATCACCTGCGACATTTCCAAGTCGGAAGGGCTGTAGGGGGGCGTCAGGCACTGTGAGAGACAGAATGAGGGGACGTGTTACCAACACACTGCCACACTAATGGATGAAAACAAGCACACACACATATGAATTCAAGGACTTACAAACGCTGGTATTGCATTAAAGTCCACTGCTCCGGGAAGCAACGTCTCATCGCTTTCCTCTGACATGTCGGATGCTGGAGTTATGGGTCTCATTTCCACATGTTTTTTGAGGTCTGTTTTCCAGTTGCAACTCATAGAAATAAGAGCTTCTACAGCCTCATAATCACTTTTTTCAGGAGTATTGTTCCAGAAATATCTCGCATCTCTCTGCTTATCAGTTATCATCTCCATTTCTTACTCCTATTTTGGTTAGAGGGAAAAAAGAAACTTTAAACCTGATGCTAAGTTTGAATATTTTGCAGTTATTTATAAGAAGGCATCACAAAAACAAAGTGACCAGTGCAAGATAAATGTGCTTGGTGTGCCTGTATTTTCCTGCCTTCTTTCTTGCTTATGTATTTTTTGGTAATCGTTAGTGGGGTAATCTGGCTGTCAGGTGAAAATCATATAACTTCTTGAAAGTAAAGAACTCCCCCAAATTAAAGTATGTTTAAGTTATTCCACGTTGCAGGAGTTGTGACTGAGAGCTTAACAGAAACCTCCACCACCACCCCCAAAAGTAAGTCAACACTTCCTCCCCCGTTCCACCCTCCTTCCTTCCATTTCTGCTCTGCACACAGCCTCCAGCGCTGTGCTTGTTCTGGCACACGCGAAAGCACCACACTGGGGCCGATGCATGTTTCCTTCAGAAGGTGTTCGCTACCCAAAACGTTCTAGAGAACACTGAAAGGGTCTCTCTCACACACACGTAAGGAAAATCACCAGCTCGGAGAACTAAAGCAAACACATGTACGTGTGTATGTGTATGCGCGGCGTGACCGGCCCACGCCG